TATAATGTGACGATCAATCACACTATTCGTTGATAAAAGAGTAGTCCAATAGTTGGCGGTGGGTGGTGATGACTAGCTGCCTTCCCTCTAGTCTTACACTGCTAAATTAGGGACGGCTAGTGCAGATAGCCCTCGTGTAGCTTTGCGCGAAATTCATAACAAACAAACAGTCTAGGAGAAATATTCTTCAGGACATGAGACTTTTGTCTGTGTGGCATAGGTCCATGACTTCCATTTCATTCCAACCAACAACTCAGGAGTAAGAGCCACCAATGTCTGATGCATCCAGAATGGCTGTTCATTTTCCTCTCCTGATGATCGACTACAGTACAAGGGAAACATGAACAAATGAGGATCATTGCAGTAGTATAACATCTGGCAAGTCTGACACCAAATATGGTAGTCTATATAGGACTTCCAGACCCTTTTCAGCCAGAGAAACGTAACTCCCGTTCTATTCAAAGCCACTCAAGAATACCAGGGAAAGACTGAAGAGACATTGTTGGATGACATCCCCCAACAGGAGCTATCTCACCAGCAGATGTGACAGTGGTCACCAAATGGTGATGTAGGTGAACATTGGGCACTGGTGATTCTCTCTGAGAATAATGTAGATTATGGAAAGATCCGAGATTGTGTAGAGCTTATATCAACTCATTTCTCTGGTACCCTGGTACCAACAATAAATAATTTGCAAAAAATCTAAAGGCTCTGAAAGTGCCTGCAATGCTGTGTCCATGCTCTTGAGGGCATTTCTGGCTAGATGATAAGCAAGAAGTCGTGAGAGAGAGGTTTTGGCCAAGATCATGATTTCATATGAGCGAGACAAAGTAGATCACCCACCATTCAACACTGAAGGCTGAGCTGAAAGAAGATTTAGATAATTTTTTGGAGTTTCTCGCCGTAAACTGCTTGGAACAGCTCATCTTTAGAGCAAGTTGTGTCTGGGATATAAAGGGTCTTGTCCTAGCTTCCATCAAGCACCTAAGCAAAGCACAACTCTGAGAATGTGAGACAGCCATTGTCGAGTTCACTGGAAGCTCATCTTAGTAGAAAAATTTAGCATTCCTCTAGGTCGAGATCAAGGCTCAGAAGAGAGTATTACAGAGAGTTTGGCTGACTATGCTGATGATCCCTGCAATTAAATTCGCAGATTGTAAGGAAATTCTTGTTGACAATTTTGTGTAAGGGTTGATTAGTGAAATAATGAGGCACTACAAGAGTGTAAGAGACCTACTTACTCTTACTGAAGTATTTTGTGTGATGATGCATTATGAAGTGGTAACTTTGAACCAGTTGCGAAAGAGGAAGAAGCTTGCTGGGACAACTGCAGTGGCTATACCTGTAAATCATCCTGCAATGAAGGGGCAAAGTGTAGAGCACTGGGTTACTTTTGAGTGAACTGCCCATGCCTTGCAAAACGGCGAGGTAGACAAGGTTACTAGTTTCGACTGATGGCTCAACAGTTACAAGAGATCCAGTAACAGACAGTAAATAATGATGCTACAGAACCCAAGTCAGACCAGGACACTGACTTGGGAAGTGTAATAGACAGCATGCACTAAAAGATTTGGTAGCTAGTCCAATTGTCTCAGGACTAGCTAGATCTTGATAAGTTCATGTAAGAGCAAAGGGGGAGAAATAGAGTTATTGTTTGATACAGGAGTTGCCAAAATACTGAAAAAAGTATGGTATATCAGGAACTCTGAGCAAAACCACCACTCAGGTGAATAAATATACACTAGACATGAACTGAGGTGATATTCCAGAAAAGATGACAGTATGCTGCATACCAGTAATGCAGGAACACAATTTAGTTATACAGCATCGCGTGAGCTTGCAATATGGGAACGTCAATCGATTCATTATTGATTCATTGAATGTTCCAATTCTGAATATCATGTTCGTGGGGGAAAACTATTTCTGCCATAGTGGTGACAAGCCATACAGTAGGAGATTCCACTAGTGGACAGATGCCACGAAAAAAGCTTTGGGAGTTCTGGGAAGAGCAATTGAAAGACCCCTAGCCATACAGCAAGGTGAGGCATACCTAGCTCAGTTTTAGGAATGTATCACAGATACACATAGTCTACGACACTTGTACAAATAGTTACGAGAGCAAGAGAGTGTACTGTACAGTATTTATCAACTCCCGAACCATGGGTTTTAACCTGTATAACAGCCAGTAGTCCCTAATACTCCGAAGCACAAGATTTTCCAAACTTTGCAAACCAAAAAGACTTGAGAGCACGAAAGTATCACCCACACTTGTACTAAGGTTCGACGGTAATCCTAATAGCCATTTTCAGCACTGGTATAAACCATGTAAAGTGTGTGCCACCAAGACAAAAAGCTGGCCTAAACAGGGTACCATCCAGCAGAGAATTGTTGCATCTCTCCAACAGAGAATAGTTCTCAATAGAGCTGGTCCATTGCCAGAGCTGAAACAAGGCCACACTCGTAGTCACTGATTACTACAAAACCGTGTGACATAGTGTATTCATTGTTTGATACATCAACACAGTTACTGTCTGAGGTACTGACAAAGTGCTGTATATCTTGGTTTGGAGCTCCTGAGGATCTGCAAGTGGATCAGAAAGTTAACTTTAACAGTTAACTGTTCTCTGAGTTGTGTAAATTGTTGAGTGTGATTAAAATGTGCACTTTCCCTTATTACTGCCTGTTTGATGGTTTAGTAGTGTTGGTAATATAGATTGTCAAGCATATACTGGCTAAATTTTGTTAATCTTAATAGAACCAACTGTGAAAAATACTCACCGTACGCAATGGCAGTGTATCATGCAAATGAGTACAGATCAAGAGGTTGTTCTCCAAATATGCTCATATTTTGACAGAAAGTTTTGCTCTTTATAAGCATGATGTATTTTCTTCCCTTAGAATGGACCTCCCACAATGTTGATAAAAAATGCATGGAGTAGTTAAGGCCTGCATTAATTGATGTACATGAGCATACACATCAACAGCTAAGAAAGGCTATCATACAACAAAAGAGGTGCTGTGACAGTAGCACACTCATGATCTTCTGTGCAGTGAGGAGGTGAACTTTCTCATCAATTCTAAAGACTCCCAGAACTGATCTGTTTTATATTTCAACAGAGCCCATGGGTGAATATTTGTTGCTTGTCAATGCATAAGACATTCAGGATCTCACCAAGTCAGTTGTAGAACTGGCTCTGATGTCCCTGGCAAGACAGAAAGCCCCATTGGGGAGTAGGTCAATCCCAAGAACTTCGGCCCTTGTTAGACTGAGTACCAATGGCATCCGTCTAGAAAATGTCACAGACTTTCTATCTCTAAGCTAGTCTAGTCAAGTAGTCCAGCCAACAGTCAAACAATTTGTCAAGATGGGGTCTAGATGGGTAATTTGGTTTTATTTAATACTGATGAACTCACGTATTTAGAGAAATTTAAACTTACTTAGTAATAAATATCTTGAAGAACCTCCTGTTATTTAGCTGTCTATCTCATTGCTCTAAGGTAACCTTAATTTTATCTGAATACATCACGTTACATCTATCGTACCCATCCGCCCAATGATTCATGGTATCAGGAAAAAGGTCTCGTTGGCAATGGAAATAGGTGTAGAGTCGTTCTCATATTAATGCATTCTTCTTTACTTTCACTCTTAAGTTCTTACAGTCCTTTATTAATTCTCTCTCTAGCTCAATGAATCTTTTTGTTGTTTGTATACAATACCTCCCGAAGATTCGAGACGTCGCATTATCATTACATCATGTAAAATCTCCCTCTAGTGATCAAAAACTTAAAGTATTAAAAAATAATCTGCGAAACAGGCATATAGCAAAAAATGAACCACTATCTTTAGTCTACAAAAACATCTATTAAGATTTGGCCCTGCAACGAGGTGTTGAAAACATTTTCCTTTTTTTTTTTTTTTGGCTAACTATAATAAATAACTGGTCCAATAGTCATTGCTAGTAAGGTATACTCTATAAATTTACACTATCATTCTACCGTCTCACAGAGAAGACTCCCTTTCAAGCCTGGCAAAGTAAATGTTGTGAGATTTCATTTGGCGACGTTTTTCCACATATTTTCAAAAGATGTCATTTTCACCGCTAGCCGATCTCTTGTTCAACAACAGAACGAGAAAACAAGCGCCTTTTACAACCGGACTATTGAGTTTACCTATTCGTTTTATTTAGTAAAACTCGCTATCTAAATGTGTTCAACAAAGGCTGTATAAAATATTTAGTGGTTCGCATTGAGTAGTATAAAGTAATCATAATATGAGCAACTTATATTTCATTTTCAGCCAATATTAACTCAAATTACTCAACAATATAGATTGGGTCGTTGTTTTAGTGTAAAGCCACATTGGGTTATCTGCTGTCTCCACAGCTGGAAATCAAACCTCAAATTATAGCGTTGTAAGTCCGTAAACTTACCGCTTACTCACTCAAGGACTCAACAATATAGGGAATATTGCACAAAAGAAGTACGTTTCTTTGTTGAGTGTAGTTTTTTTTTCTAAATAGTTTTTGTTATAGAATACTATAAAACTTGACTTAAACATAAAAATACAACATCTTAAGCGTTTAGTTTATTTATGTATGAAAACACTGAGGCTAAATGTTATGCTTCACTAGCTTATGTTTTCTATACTTTAAGAATAAGTTTGTACCCTGTATTGGTAGTTTCTGGTAATGTATATTTTACAATGTTAAATTATCTTTTTTATAAGTTTTGAATATACGATACATCGAAAAATATTATCAAGTGTAATTTATACGTATCTGCTTTTTTTTATTCTTAATATTTTTTATACTTATTATCGTATATTAAAGTTAATTGATTATAAGAAAATAAATGATGAAAATTTATTAGAAAAATACAGTTCCTTATCACTAAATATTTTTTCATAAAATATAATTTTTGAATAATTGTAAATAAATAAATGTCTGTGTCGATATTTCTTTGAAAACGTTAATATAAATATATGAAATTAGTATTTCGGGTTTTCAGGAATGACGATTCACTGTACTTCGTTGGCGCGGTAGATGAGGTCTTTCTCGTTAAGCTGCACGTGGTGTTGGAAGTAGTTGGTGGCCATACTGAAATATATTTTAAGAAAATCGATAGTTTTACTTCTAGCGTCATGGTTGTAAAAACTAACAGGCAAACATTTCAGACAACAATGGCTAATAGAAAGAAAGGAGCAAAGGCCACAGAGGTAATTAATTTATCATTTCTAAAGAAAAAACGGACTGTTGAGTATTATTACAGTTTTATTTCGAATTTTAAGAACTGGCTTTGTTACTTGTTAGCAAATTTGTTAAGCCTAATGTTAGTGCCGTTACTTTAACGCTACGTTTTTAGGCTTAAGTAAATCAATAATTAGTATTTAAGTATATGCTTGATTTGATATTTGCATTAGGTGTATTTATTATCCATTTATATTTGATGGTGAATTCTAAAATAAATTAACTTTAAAAGTTAAAACAATTATTTTGCTTGTAATTGTTATATTACTACATTTACTCTCATTTTACTTAGTCTTGGGAACATTAAATGATTAATATTATGAGCCCTTATTCCTTAACTTAACACCAGTTACATCTTGTTACACAACTTGTAAGTTTAAAGTTTATAAATTGAAACTTTTGTAGATGTTTGCAATAAAAATTATTTCAAAATTATATGATGAAATTAAATATTCGTTGCTTAGAACTTAAAAAGAGTAATACTAATAGTACTTATTACTATTCTTAATTATGATGTATCATTATTATTCATAAACTATAGTATAGGGATGTTTTGCACATTTATTGAGTTCAATGATTATAAAATGCATCAAATTAATTTGGGATATAACTTGTGTAATTGTATAAATGGAAAAGTTTATTACTGAGTATGGAAATCTACTGGTAGTTCTTATTAGAATGGAACCAGTAGAAAAGGTTTTGCAGAAAAAATTTATTTCCAGACTTGGTTCATTCGGCAATTTTTTATTTCATAATTTATTTGTATTTTTAGTACACGTGTATACTGCTGATGGTGATAGCAAATGTTTAGGTAAGGTCAGAGCTAAAGATTTGAATGCCTAGAAATTTTCAGTTCTTTGAAAAAATGTTTTGCTCCAGCCATGCAATAAACAGGTTGTGAGGGCTGAAGAATTGCTACTGATACCTAATTTTTGTGAAGAGTTGCCCTGGAAATTAAATGCCATTTGGGCTTCTGTAGTTTAAAAGATTCTATTCTTATAATTTATAAAAAAAATTTTGAAGAATGATTTAGTGAAACAACACGAGTTAACATGGATTCACCGAGGAGAAATTTTTCATTGTTAATTTTTGTATATTTTACTACGGGTGTTTTTTGTTAGTTGCATCATGGAAAATTTTTTAAAGGATTTTGATAAGCTATCACACAGAATATTGTTAAGGAAATTGCATCAATGGGGAGCTGAGAAAGGAATAATTGATCAGATTATAAGGTGACTAGGGGGCTGTTACTCATCCTTGTATTTCTGCTTTTGATAAAGGAATTACTTAACCTAACTGAATGAAACCTCAGAACTTGATGAATGGTATCTAGTTCCAGCTTAAAATATTCAAATCATTTAATTTAGTTTTTTTATAATTTGTTTATGCCATGCAATTTAAAAATTGACACTATGAAAAATCATTACAAATACTTGCTGCAGTTCTAAGGTGCTTCTTGGTTTCTTTTTTTACACTTTTGCCTATTACCTTTTAACAATCTTTGATAGGATTGAGATCTGGGTTGTTGCCTGGTCATCATAGTATTTTTACCCTGTCCCTTTGAAGATAGCCTTTCATCTAAAACAGTGAAATAAGTCTTCAATACACATAAAGTGAAATTTACTCTATTTCACTATTTCACATCTGCATAGAATGCATGAATATTATCAACCTTTTTTGTCCTGTGGCATGGAGCAGTCATTCTGGAATGTACACAGTTCAGCCCCACTGAAATAATCCCAATTTGTTGGCATTAACCTAGACTAAAATCTCGATGTACTTGTCATCATTGACAGGTACTTTCGCAAAATGCTTGTGTCACACATTCTGGCCAGAGATGCATCCCCATATCACTTGACCATATAAATGCTTCACAGCTGCTTTCAAACATGCTGGATGAAACTTTTCCACAATGATGTACAAAGTTCTTCCCATCAGACCTGTGCATGTTGAATTTTGCTTTGTCTGAATCCACATTACTTCAATCCAGTCAGCATGCTTTTTGGCCTTGTTAAGCCTCACCTTCTTCATTTTGTTGGGGGAGGAAGGGGTTTCTTTCTCGGCCATATTGCTGGGAAACCAATGACACTGGATAGCACATGTGTTAATGGTGACCCCTAAATTTTCTGTCATGCTCCTTTGAGAGCTGTGGACGACAGTCAACAATTCTGCAGGATCGTGTTTCAACACATGATTATCAGCTGCTGTGGAAGCTTTCTTCTTACCCCTTCTAATCCAGCACTCCACGAAGCCAGTCTATATCATTGCACTCAGTGGTTGGTTAAATTTAATTCTTCTAGCAATGTGACTAATTCTGACTATTAAATGTTGTATTCCAACCAACCTGATGACTCCTAGTATAGAAGGGAAAGGCTTTGGCACTGAGCATAACCAGATCTTGTGTAGCTGACACATTACACATTTTTCTTTACTGTGTAGAACATTTTATAATACCAATAAATGACAATTTCAGTCACTATAATTTGCCATCACTACCATGCTTTTTAAAGCTAATCATGCCTGTGTGATGTTTTGTCATAGAAAATTGGCATAATTTCAAACAAATGTAATATGAAAACAGTCTCAAGAATGAAAAGTGCATGTGAAAAACTAAAAGCTTTTAAATCTTTGATTTATTCTTTGTCTTCTAAACTTCACACATAAGCTAAACCTCACCATTTAAAACTTGATTTAATTTATATAATAAGTTTCCTTTGAATAGCTATTACAATGATCAGTGTTTCATAAATTAAAATTAGTGTTTCAGATTACCATTTTTAATTGTTCAGCCAATTAATGGAATTCCAGTTATATCAGATGTCACAAAATTAAATTATCAATTAGGTTTTCCAATTAATACTAGTTTCAGTTACTCCAACTATGTAATTAATCAATGTTTCAACCAGACTTGTTTGCCATGTCTTTGTTATGACAAAACTACTAAAACTATCTTCAGTCACTAATTTTAAACTTTGACAAGAGGGGGGGCAATTGAATTATGGCACCTGCCTCCAAAATTTGTTGTCAAACTGCTGACTAGATGAAAGGCAATTATTTTTCTTGAACATACCATAAATTACTTCTTACACCACTATTTACTTTACTGTGTCATTGCTTATCATTAGCTATGGCATTTAACTCTTTCAGCACGAGGTCGGTCCCTTTTGTGTTTATAGTTTTCATGCTACAACTTTCAAATTAGTGTAGGTGAAATTTGGCAGTTTATCAGTAAACATTACAATGGTTTCATATGCAAATTTGTTTATCAAGTCTTAAGGTTTATAAAGCAATGTTTTTCTCATGTCTTATCTTTTTGCATGTTGCCTATCTATCATGTAAAGTAATATTCTTTTTAAGATAAAAAATACTTTTATGCATCAGAAACTTGAAATTTCACATGCAAAATCTTTATAATATCCAGTCAGTTATTAAACCTTAAGAAAAAACTTTATATTTTATCTGTTATTTTCAGTAATTAATCTCTGTACAGGTCTGGTCAATTTGACCAATCTCGTAACCACCATAAAAAATTAGGAAATAGATATAAGTTATGCCTTTTTCATTCTAGAATGAGCATAGATTATAACCAAAAAACATAAATGTTTAGACTAAATCTCATACCATTATGCATTTATATAAATTTATTATTTTTATTATATTGACCTTTCAGCTGTGCCTGGCTAACAATACAGAAGTTACAATGACACAGCTCACGTGCATTCATGTTACCGTATCAAATAACATAAAACTGACCTTTGGTCTGTGCAAAGTAACTTGTCTAGGCTGTGTTTTAGTAGACTAGTATTTTGTAAAATAGTCAAGTTTCAATTATTATACATTATATATGTATATAGATTATTGCTATTTTGAAATAAGTTCTTAAACATAAAGTAATGCAAACATTCTCTTCTAGTTACAACCTTTGTACTTGGTTGCAGTTTGACGTAGGTTGCTTATCCTTTTAAAATTTTGCACATGGAGGATATGAAATGAAATAATTTTTTCAGGTTTTATATATACATTTGAATAGCTAAAAAATCATAATTAGTATATCAACACCATTGACTTCCAAATTAAGTTATCATGCTTAATAACTAAGATATATATTAGTTAGGGGTGCACCGGTACCCAGCCAGTTATTGGTCTACTCGGTAATACTCTGCTTCAGCCAAGTGTCAAGGTTAAAAACAGCCGAATCAGGGTAATTTAAAATGGCATCTAAGCCCTAATCTTTGTGGCAACTTGCGTGGTACTGAAAGTTAGTCAATAATTAGTTTATTTTACAAAACATGTTCGGAGCAACAAAGACTGACTGCCCGCTGAAAGTTGAGGATTCAGAAAACAATAGAGGTTGATAACAAACATGACTTGAGAAGTGGATTTCTGTGGAAGGTGGGAGTTTTTGAGACAATAGGGGTTAGGGTTTGAGAAGTTGGGGCTAGGCGTTAATTGGAATAATGATTCTAAAATGTGTCAACATGACTGTTTCTGTATTTACTTTCTCTGGCCTCACTTTTGGTAGTCAAATGAAGCTCGATTTCCCACAATGGCCAGGATAGCAAGACATCTCTCTGCACCTCTGACCAGTGTAGATAGCGAACAGGCTTTTAGTGCCATTGACAACATTATCACAGATGAATGGTCAAGGCTTTTACCCAAAAATGCCGAAATGCTACTGTTCCTAAAGTACAATTTAAACAAATTCCAAAATACGGGCATTCTGCAACCTGGTGTGCACATTTTTGTTAGGTAAAGTTGAAAGTAAAACTGGAATGTTCTATTGGTGATTATTTAGATAAATGTAATAAACATAAATTTTGTTTGTTTCTAATTTTTGTGTATGTTTTTTTTGGGGGGGGAGAACCCAGTCCTGGATAAATTTTACTACCCGTGCATCCCTAATTTTAATCTA